TTTGCCTAGAGTAGATTTTAGTCTCTGTGTAGCATTTCTGAGGTTCATCAGTTGTTCATGCCATTGCCTTGCTTGCATAAAGTGTGTCAAACACTTGATTGCATGGATGCTGTGCAGTAAAGCGGACAGCAGAATTATCTGGAGAAACATTGCATCCACCGTGTGCTTTTGTGCTTACAAAAGAGGTTTGAGTGAAGATCGGCAGGTCCTAAACATGCAAGCTCGTGTAAACGAAGAGGCAATAAATTCTCAATTATAAGCGAAACCTAGTGAGTTCAAGCCGGTAACATCTTAAAATTTTGACGAAAAATAACAGTAGAGATGATGCCCGTTGAGCTTGTGCTCACTTCTCGTGTCAAGAGGGCTTTAGCCACTCATCTGTCATCCAATTTCCTGCTGCGCGTTACAGCACTCAAGTAATTTTAGACTCTTGACCTTGGCCTATAATTAAGCCGACTTCTTCAGTCTCCTTAAAAAAGGATTAATCTACATCATTAGGTATAATCCACCCACTCTTTATAACACGTTTCGTGTCACTATTGAGCTACTCCATTGATGAACTGGTAAGCTAAATCTACCTACCAATCTTTCATCATACAAAAGAAACATTGGAGACATGCAAGGGTGCGCGGTTCCAAGTTAGACCCAGTGCAGTTTCCGTAACTATGTCAGTAAAAACAATAGACAGCGAGGCAAAGCCGAAAACCCAACAACACCTATGATCCTGCCATTGACATTTCTGTATTTATGCCAAATCTAAAGAATACTAGACCTACAAATTGTCAAAAACAGAAAATAGTTCTCTACCACCATCTTAATAAATCTAGAATACAAAATGAACAAAGAAAAAATCCCTGCTTCACAATGACAATCAATGCAAGTGACACAGGAGCATCTCACCTTCAAGTTCAACCAACATTTACATAAAGTCATTTACAAACACAGAATTCTCAGACACAAAAACGAGGAACAGCAACAAAATAACAGAAATGTGAATAAAGAGAATTAGCGTGATGGTTGACCACGCAATTTGTTTGCCACATAGAGCAAATGACTAATGTTTGTTGGGGGATAGTTCTGGAGTAGCTTGAGAATAGAAGTGAAATCCCCTGCTAGCAGACGCCTCCGAATGAGAATCAGCATTGCACAACATACCCTAAGCAACGTCTCCTGCAAAAAAAAATATTTCAAAATGAAGGGGTTAATTTGTTGGCTTTGACAATGTTCATCATCCTAAATTTTGATCAAAACTAACAGGCTGACAATGCTCATCATTCTAAGATTTTGAGCAAAAGTAACAGGGAAATGATCCGTTGTGTTCCACTATATAACCTATGCAATATCACCACTACTAATTAACCCTCTCTGTCAGAGTTCACCATCTAAACTGACCAAAACACACAGTAGTGCTAGTAAAGGCTCTGCTACCAATGATGAATTTCCACATCTCTCACCCATGTCATATAAGACCCTCTTCAACATATATAGTGTACAATCACTTTAGTCCAGTATTGAACAGGCTTGTAGCCAACAGGTGGAACCATAACGGAGCCATTTTTCAAAAAGTATGCCATCCTACACATTTACACAATCCATTTCAAGATTTTCTACCAGAACAATTTCAGCTCATTGTGAGTGGATCTAAGAGTCCCATTACTTTTCAGCCATAGAGATACAAATGTTCATCAAAGTACTAATCTAGATTATGATATAAAGAGGAACCCTAGCGATAATAGAGGTCTAAAGAGTTTAGACACTATTATTAGGTCCTTGGGAGGGTGGCATCCTTGCTCTACTTATCAAAAACACCTTCAGGGAAAAGAATAAAGAGGAAATGAATTTTACCTGAGGACCCTCGGGGTCACTTAAAAGTGTGTCCCAAATGTGAAGACTATCTGCGAAATTGAACTCCTGAGTCAAGAGCAGAGTAATCCACCGAAATGCATAAAACTGGGGGTTTACCTGTTGTTTTTAGACAAAAAGAAGCAAGCATTTCAGAAGAATTATTTGACCAAACAATAAAGCATACGCCATAACTAATCGATTGTTCAAATAAAATGTTGCTTAAGGCTTAAAAATTTATGAAAGCTGATGCGAGTTATGAGCACAAACCCAACTTATACCATTTCAAAAAAAAAAAAAAAACTATCTGAAATTCATGTCACTTATTTTCATCTTGTACATCAAAGAAACTATTCTTTCATAATTATATTAGAATACAAAATCATCCATATGCGACAAACAATGTCTTGGCAACTGAATATATATACATTATGATAGTGTCTTACTGTGGTTGTGATCTCAAGATGACGCCAAAGCTCTTCATCATGCTCCTTCAGAAGCTGTGACAATCTTGTAATAGTTGATCGAATTCCCACAACACTGTTGTCAAGTTGCTGACAGAAATGATCCCGAAATCCACTCAACAGCTCAACAAAGCAGAAAAATGTGTCTGCTTCTGCGCAGGCCTGCGGGACTTGAATAAAGGAAATGATAAACAAAATGAAACCTAAAAGGATAACTAAAACATGACATTAAATGGTTACACCAAATCACAGGATCAATGATGATAGTGGATATGATGTACACTATTATTATTGTGCATCTGTCCTGGTCTAACAATTCATTGGTGGCACAAGATAATGCATTGACATATTAACACCTATCAAATCTTCATTTATTTAGTTAACTTCATTATGCTCTCGGGAGATAGCAGTGGCATTAATGCATTAAATTATGTGTCTTGAAAGTGGCATTTGATGTATTAAATTATAAAGACTTTCTCTGCATCCACCATTTCCACAGAAGTGCACAAAAAATTCAATAACAAAATATATTTCTGACAAAGAAGAAAGAAACAGCATGAGCTTACCGCCATTTCCTCATCAGGGTCATTTTTGAATATGTAGAATAGTGGTGCCAAAATTTCATTCATCCCTTGAACATATCGTATACCCGGATTTAACTTTGCAAATACAGTCAGTATGTTTCTCAGAGCCTCCTGAAGATAAGAGGCACAAATAAGTCCGCAAAACAGATTTTAGATTAATATCAAATATAAAAAAATGAAAAAAAAAACAAAAACAAAAACAAGAGTGCACCTGATTAGATTTTGCAAGAGATGAGTCCCCAGAAAAGAAGTGCAGGTCTGGATGAGTGCGTTTCACATCTCGATCAATCTGCTCTATGATCTCTGAGTCCTACAAAATGCCAAGGTTGGAGATGGATATTTTAGACAGACAGTGCAAGTATCCTGTGAATATTAGTATGTTGTTTTGCAACAGTAAAGAGTGTTTGAAATTTCACTTCAAGCAGACAAAAATATCATGGACATGGGCAACAAGCTATCATCCTTACACATATCAGGTCACATGCACAAACTTCATACTGGCAAAAACTAAGTTATAGCAACCAAGGGCATCAATATACATGACCACTTGCTGTCATTATGCGGAATGAGGCTCAATCATATTCCCAGGACATCTCGAAGAAGAATGAGTAAGGCATTATCAATTTTACTTCAGTATTTGTTTAACATTTTTCTGGTCAAAGTTCCAAACCAGGACCTATCCAGTTCAAACCCATTACTTCCACTGGAGAGAAAATTCACGTTTCCTCAAGACGTCATTTTCCCTTTCAAATTCTCTAAAAAAGAAGCTACATACAGATTGGTTTTGCCATACCACATCTCATTATATTTTAACTAACTGCAAAGTTTATACAACCAGAAAGAGGGGAAAAACTGACTGAAAAGTTTTAGAGATTTTAAACATAGAGAAAGGGAAGTAACAACTGTTGGCAGGCTCACACAGTAGCACACAATATCCAAAGTCTCAAGTATTTGTGTCATGAACCAGTTGATTTCATACCTGAAAGAATTGATTCCAAACGCTGCTCTTACCAAGGCTCAAAGGATGCTCATCATGAGTTATCTCTGATCTTGAGAGTACACAACGGCTTTCAGATTTTCCATTGTCATTGTTGAGAACAGTGGTTTTCTCCAACCTCCTTGCTATTTCTGACTAACCAGCCACAAAAAAAAAAATCAGAATCCCAGAAACTATGACAAGAATTGAAACATTAAATTGAAAGCAGCAGCACATCCTCCTTATAGCAAAAAGGACTTTGCTAGTCCACCCACTAGCCCACACTAGTATCCTACTTATGAGAGCCCAAGCTAATCTAGGTCACCTAGTTACATTTCATGAAAGCATACAACCGGGATGGAATTTAACTTATTTTTGCAGCATCTTCATAATTTAACATTTCCCAATGCTGTAAAAAATGTGAGGACTTTCCAGAAAACCCATTTATTTAAGATGTTAAAACCAAAAGAAAACACCAACAAAAACCCAGCAACAAATTGGATAACAATCACGCTGTATTATATTTTATAACCTTTACAATCGTTTTAATTCCCCATTAAATGACTAACTAAATAAGGCATTAAAATCCATGCCGTGTGACTTACAGGATTCATCAAAAGCTCCTCTTTAAAATGCTTGTACTGAGATCTCTTCTTGGCCAATTCAGACGACCAAAGTGAACGATCAGGTGCCAAATACCCCAACAAGAGCTGCCACACACAATCAATAAGCTTAAATCCAGACCATACCATTGCCCCAAATCAACATGCAAGACACTCACTCCATTCAACAAAGGAAGGAGAGAACAATACTTCAACGGCCTCTAAGCATCAAATTTCATCTCTCTTGAAACCCAAAATCTCTACATTTCTAATTTTTCAAACCCAACTCACCATAAGCTTGGAAAATCAGATTTTCAAGTTTGACCCATTACTACAGTACATTCATCTCAGAAAACACTTCTTTTACTAAAAAAAAATTAAAATCCAGTTTTCTTCTAAAAAAAAAGAAAAAACAAAATCTCTAATTTCTTTCGGATTCTCTCAACAACCCCAAAAAATTTTTGTAATAAAACAAATACAAATTTATTACCTTCCAAACCGTGGAACGAATACCAGCACCATCAGGTATCCCTTGAGAAGCAATTCTTCTCAATTCCCCCATATTTATCACCTTCTTTGATAGCTGCAACCACAAAAACAACACAGCTTTAAACAGAAATTTTAAAATTAAAAAAAGAAGAAGAAACGAAGAAAATTTGAAGTGACCTCAGTCAGAAGCAGAGCCTGCTTAGAAATATCCTCTGCAGAGCTCTCATTAACATCAACATTTCGAATATCATTAGTAATAATTATTTTATTATTAATAATATTGTCATTACTATAATTATTATTAATAATAATATTGTTGTTGTCGTCGTCGTCAACGATGCTGCTTTTGGAAAGCTTATCTTTAACCTCAGGTTTTTGAGGATGATTATGATTATGATGATGACGCGGCGGCTGCTGTTGTTGCTTGTCTCTGATAGCCGCAGGAGGTAGCGGTGGATCGATTGGGGATTCGATGGGTGGAGAGGCGGTGGTGGGTGAGTGGTGGTCGAAGGTATTGGTGTCGGTGGTGGTCGTGGTGGTGGAGGAGGAGGAGGAGGAGGCGGAAGGAGTGGTGGACCAGAGAGAGCTGTTGAGCCAATCTGGTACTTTTTTCTTCACCATTTTAATTCAAAAAAGGAGAGATTTTTTAACTGATTTTTACAAAATACAATAAAATTAAGGATTAATTGATTGATTGATGGTATGGTTAGTGAGGGTGGATGGGCGCTTCTTCTTTCTTGCGAGGAAGGGGGTGAAATGGGTTTGATGGAGTGACAGCATGGGTAGGGAAGGGTTGTGAAGGAGCGATGGAAGAAGTCCACCTTCATACATGCCTTTTTCTTTTATCATTTTTATTTTCAAATCTTCTCTTTCAACAAAGGGTCTTTTTAAGTGTCTGATTTCTTTTTTAAAATTTTAATTTATTTATTTATTAATAATAATATAATTAAAAGTACGTGTAAATTTTACTTTTTTAATTTTGGAAAAAAACATTATTAAAAATCATTTTTTTTACATTTTCAATTTTAAAAATATTTTTTAAAAAATAAAATATATATTTTTAAATAAAATATATTTTAAATTGTAACTATTATTATAATTTTAAATAGACTTTAAATATTAAATGTATCATTAAATGATCATATAGATAACAAGATTTTTCACGAGAAAATATAGGAATTATTGTATTAATATACTAAGTTTAAAGTGTCTTTTCTTAATAAATTAGACACGGACAAATCCATCGCGTGTTTTTTTTGTTATGTTAGGGATTTTTTTAACTTTTTGTTGACTTAAAAAAAAACTAGAAACCATCAGCTCAGCTATTTACTGTGGCTTCTGAGAGCGAATACAATTGATTGGAACAGTTCTTTTCACGTGGAGAGATTGCTTCGAATTGTTTCTCGCGTGAAGTTGATTTTGAAAGTAAATCATACCATCTCAACAGAAAGAAGGAAAAAGAAAAATCATTGATACAGAAAAAACAGCATCCTTGCAATCATGAATACATGATAGCCTTTGGTTCACTGTGCGTCTACTCATGCAAACCAACATACCCTTCAAGCCAAATGGTAGACTACCGTGACCCCATGATTCAGCACTCTCAGATTTTAGCTTTTGTTTTGACAACACTTTCAGGGTCCATTTGCTTTGCATGATTGCAATCCTCAGGCACATGAGGGGGGGCACCTTGATCTTGCTCTCTAGTCTATGCATGAAGCAATGATGGATAGTAGTTCAGTTTCTGTGTTGTCTCTTTTCAAGGCATTAATCGTGTCAAATACAAAAGTGGGCATGCCCTTCTGGACCTTGATATTCCTCTCCCACGTTGTCATGCTGTCATGGGACACACTGAATCAAGATCTGTTCATCAGGTCTTGTAACTCAAAAGAACGTCCTTTTTTCTTTTCTTTGATAAATATGTTATCAATACCACGCACAAATGAAGAGTGTGATGACAGTAACCAGGAACTCTTGAACCGTATTGCTAGCTAGTTAGAAAATCTGAGAGCTATTGACGAGACAATTTGTTGTTTTAGCCTGCTCATATGGTCAGATTAATGAAGTCCTGTTCCAGCTTTAATCCTCAGTCCCCATAGTTCAGTCTCCATGCATTAGTTGCTTCATCCAAATGGCTGAACCAAACAAACCAACAACCAAAGACGTCCCAAAGCAATCCTCCAGTAATAGAGGAACCCAGCTTTCAAATTGAGATGCCATCTAGAATCATTATCATGCGAGGAACAGTTCCACCAACAAACCTCAGATTTCTTACAGCTGGTGTCTTTGATCTCAGGGGATGTGCAAGTATGCCACGCCGTCTGCTCCTGAATCATGTCAAAATGCAACCCAAGCCATCCTTATCTTACCTCAGATTTCTGACAGCCGGTGTCTTAGATCTCAGGGAATGTGATGTTTACAGATGAGCTCGTAGATCTATTGCCATAGATGTGAGACTATGTCATAGAGGTATGATGTTGGGTTCATATGGTTTAGGGTCCTATATCAAGCAAAGAGATAGTATTGCAGTAATATCAAATACAAGTATGAAAAAGACTAGAATGCTTAGTTATAGAAAATTGAACAGAGATGAATCTTAAGTAAATTTGCTATACAAGGCCTGGATCGCGTACCTTTTTACCAGTGATCTCTACATGAACAAGATCCATCCTTGAAATGATGGAATCGCTTCATATCTCTCAATATGATCTCCCTTTGACTTATCTTGCTAGCATGTTTCATCAAAGAATGGCAATCCCCACATACTTGAAGATTTTTCACAATCCTAATAGTCATCCCAGGAGAAGTACAAATGAGCGCAAAAGCAAGTGCTAACTTTTCACCATGACTTCCCAACACATCTTCTTTTTCTTCTTGTTCCATATTATGAAGTACCCACTCAGTTCCAGGTATGTATCCTCGTTTCACTGCACCTGCCATTATTTCTTCTAATTTCAGGCATATCGCTTTTGAATCCTTGTGATCATGATCACCAGATACAAAGCGATGCACTTGACCCTCCACCTCAATGCAACTCCATCCACTATTTTTGTGAACACCTCTATTCTGCATCAGAACTCTTACTCTCTCCGCATCTTCCCATTGGCCTAGAGCAGCATAAGCATTTGACAAGAAGACGTAGTTCCCAGCATGTGTAGGTTCAAGCTTCAGGAGTTTATTTAAAGCGAATTTTGCCATTTTGGTTTTTTTGTGAGCCCTACAAGCACAAAAGAGTGCTCCCCATATCACAAAATCAGGATTCATTGGCATGCGTTCAATGAATCTGAGCGCTTCTTTAAGCTGACCAGACCTACCAAGCATATCAACAATCAATGTATAGTGTTTCATAGAGGGTTCAATGCAGTAATCAAGCCTCATGCTATCGAAGAAGTTAAGTCCAATATCTACTTGGCCAGAATGCATGCAAGCAGTTAATAAGGCAAGAAATACAACCTCGTCTGGTTTTATACCTGCAAATATGACAAACTCAAGCTTTCGAGAATTGCAAAACAATTGAATGGGAATAGAGTAAACTGGAAAAAAAAAAAAAAAAAAAAAAAAAAAAAAAAGAGGTAAACTGAATGGAATTGCACCAAAAAAAAGTCACACCTGCAAACATCATCTGTTTAAAGCATGCAATCGCTTGCTCAGAACGTCCATGGATTGCCCAACCCCATATCATAACAGTCCATGTACGAATACTCTTCTGTTTTGTCTCTCCAAACACCTCACTTGCAGACTCAATATTCCCACATTTGGCATACATATCGACCAAGGCAGTCCCAAGTGCTTCAGTCAAATGGAAACCATTATCCTTGATATATTTATGTATCCGTAACCCAGCTTCAAGGGCACCAATCTTTGCACAAGCAGAAAGAGCAGAAACAATGGTAAAAGCATTCGGCCTCACCCCTTCCTCCAACATTTTAGAAAACATTGACAGCGCCTTCTCACTATCTCCATTCCGCGAAAACCCATCAACCATTGTGGTCCAAGAAACCACATTCTTCTCTGGCATTTGACCAAAAAGCTCCATAGCTCGATCCATATCCCCATTTTTCGCAAAACCGTCAATCAAAGTACTCCAAGACACATTCTCCTTCTTTGGCATGGCCTTAAAAAGCTTCAAAGCCTTCTTCATACTCCCAGCCTTACAACAGCCCTTAATCAACACATTCCACAACAACGCACTGCTCCCACTATCAAATCTCTCAGGGCTTTCATCAAACACCTTGAAAGCCGACCCCAATTTCTCAACTTTTACATACATATCAACCAAAGAAACTCTTACAAATGAATCGAGTTCAATCCCACACCTCAAAACCATACAATGAATAGCCATACCAAGCTCTGTTGAGAACAAACCCGCCATAGATTTAAGCACAAACGGATATGTAAGCCGGTCAGGCTTAATGCCAGACCTTAACATTAGCCTAAAATGAAAAATGGCATTGAAAAAATGAGAATTTGTGGTGAGCCCACGAATTAATGCATTGAATGTAAACAAATTCTTGGGTTTATGGTGGTTGAAAACTGCTAGCGAGTGGTTGATGGATTTGCGCAAAGAAGAGGAAGAGATTAGCTGGGTGGTAATTAGGCTGCTTGAAGAGAGTTTGTGGATGATGATTTGGGCGTGGATTTGGTGGAGTTGGAGAATTGTTTTGGAACCGTGAATTAGAGAGATGAAATGGGCTTCTGTGGGTGGAGTTGGTGGAATAAAAAGAGCAGAAAGTGAGCTCTTTGGTTTGTTTATTGATGTCTTGGAAATTTTTGTGGTGATTTCTGGTGGATTTGGAGAGGGAATTGGTGCATTTGAGGAGGAGGAGGAGGTTGCGGGTTTTCTAGTCTTTGATGCAGTGGTGGTGGTAGAGGAGGAGGAGGAGGTTGAGGTTTTGGTTTTGGTGGGAGAGGAGGGTAGTTTAAACAAGGCATGGAGTGATTTCATCGCTAGAGAAAGTACGCAGGCTAACGGCCTGATAAATAATTTATAACTAGATGGCTAACGATAGGTCTAGTTTAATTTAATTAAGACGATGAAATCATGATAAAATAAATAAATAAATAAAATCAAGTTTAAAGTTAAATAATTAAATTTTAAATGGTAAAAGTACAAATTTAATTTTAAAAAAATTATAAAAAAACATTTAAGTCAAATAGTTAAATTTACTAACCCATCAAACATAATATAAGATTAAAATTCAAAAATAAAATTTAAAAATATCTAATTAATTAAATTAATTTTCAATTCAAAATACGTGAAATAAGAATGAATCCATAAAAATGCAAAACATATCATAAAATTTAAGACTAAATAACTTAAATTGAATGATAAAAATAATTAAAAATATTTAATTTTAAAAAAATAATAATAAAAATATCAACTTTAAACTGAAATAATCTTTAAAATTTGTGCATCAGATCATCAGTAGAAGATAAACATAAAAAAATTATGATAATTAAAAATATTTAATTTTAAAAAAAATAAGAAAAATATCAACTTTAAATTGAAATAATCTTTAAAATTTATACATCAGATCATCATCATAGAAGACAAACATAAAAAAATTACGAAGTAAAATTTTTAATAAGTACAAAATTAAAAAAATAAAGCAAATGATTAAAAAAATCAAAAAAAATAAAATTATTTTTGTTGTAAAAATAAAATAAAATATTGAAAGTTAAAATTAAAAAAATTAAAAAGCATTAAAAAAAAATAAAAAAAAATATAAACTAAAAGATATAACTCAATTTTTAAAGGTTTGGTGCCAATGACAAGGGCCAAGAAAAGAAAAACATCATTGTTATTAAACCACTGCAAAAATGATTGCATCCACCACCACAGTACACGCCAGGGGACATGGCTGTCAATAGGTTTTTGCCATTAGAAGACTCCCCCACTTGCCTCTGGAATAGCTTGCGAGACGATCATGTGTTGACATTTGCAACGCATGTGTCGGTTTTTTTATTGATTTATTAATATTTTAATAATTTAGATTATTAAACAGTTTCTAAGAACATCTGAATATTAAAAAAAAATACATATTGTAAAGAAAAAAATGTTCGTCCAAGCCAACCTTATATTTTTTTTATTATAAGGCTATTTTTGTCATCTCCCTATACAAAAACTATGGAAAAACTAAAAAATATCTCTCATCAAGGTCAATAATTTTTAGCTTTTAAGAGTATCCATATCATTTTATCATGCAAATAAAATGGAAAAGGACAAAAAAAAAAACCCTTAGACAAAAGGCTAATTTATTCACCTTTAAGGGAAAAAATGTATATTTATTATGAAAAAAAAAGGTGATTTGGATGAATTGTCCTTAAATAATTTATAAATAACCTTTAAATCCTCATAAAAAAATAATTTTAACCCCATAAGCTACGCAATTATTTTATGCTGAGAATGGTAAAAAATCACAATTGTGCTAATCTACAAGGAGTCATCTTACATTTCATAGTATATTACTAACTATTTAACTCTATTTGACGCGTGATTTATTGTGTCATATATTTTTTAATTTGATAAAAAAATTGTACAAGTAAGCATTCTCGATGTATTTTTGTACATGAAAAAATAATATAAATTAAAAAACTTATACATATATATAATCAAATAAATCAAGAACTATATATATTAACAAATAGGAGAAAAAAAAAGAGGTTATTAACAATAACTAATAATAAAACTAAACAAATTAAGAGATATATATAAATTAAAATATTTAATTTTGTAAGATGAGATATTTACTCGGTTGTGTTTACTAAATTTGTTTAAATTGATTTGATGCTAAAAATAAACACATATATTTAATTGATTAAATAAAAGTGAAAACAATATCATCTAAGGTTGCACATATTAGAAATATTATCTAAAAATAAAAAAATTTATTTCAAAAAATAAATTTTTTGTATACAAAAGATAAACATAAAAAAATATTGATGATCCAGAATAATCTTTAAAAAATTAAAAACACATAACACTATTAAAAAAATAATCTTTATCAAAAAACATATGTAAAAAAAAAAAAATCACAGGTGAGGGATGTTAATCAAAAAATAAATTTTAAAAAATATATTAAAAAAGATATCGATTAAAACAAAGCAATATAAAAAAAAATATTTTGAGTTTTGTTACTTAACTCGTTAAACATATAACCTGTAGCATGAACTCAACTGAATTCAATAACATTTTCCCTTTAAATTTATACTCGATTTAAAAATAGAACTTAAAAAAGCTCAAACTCGCGAGTTGATGGTTTAATATGCTTGTACCATTACAATGAAGAGCTCAAGAGTTTTGATAGGTCTCTAAACCTTTTTGTTTTTTTAATTTTTAAAGGGGTGGACAACTTTACCCCTATTTTTTTTTAAAAAAAAAAAGTTGACAACATGTTACTTGTCAAGGCAAACGACATGTCATCTGCAAGCTTAAATTCCAGTCACCACAGCAGTAGCTAGAAAATCAGGTTGTGATTCTTTCAACTAAAAAACTTGATTTTAAAGTTATTTTAACTCAAAAACACCTCACCAATATCTTTATAACATAAAAAAAAAATCATTTCATTAACTCCAAATGCCCAAAAACTAAAATCAATTCGAGTTAATTTTGGCTTTTTTAACTTAGATTTGGTCTTTCATGCAACATTAAAGTTCCAAACAATCATTATAGAGCTCCTCTCGTCTCATGGAACCATTGGATACTAAGAAAATCCATTTTAATAGCTAGAAATATAGTGAACAACAACTCTCTCTCATCATTGGAATTCAACAACCCCTCTCTCTAATGAAGAACTAAAAAAAATATAAATAAACTTGTATACTAAAAGTGATTTTTAAAAAATTTAAAGGGGCTTAAATCATATAAATTGCATGATTTTTAAACATCGAGAATCTAAGTGTATTTTTCATACAATTTTTGGTACGCAATCCATGTTTAATGTCTTTTTCATTTTGGTTTTCTTTCTTTTAATTTTACCCTTGAATAAAAAATTAGAAGTAATTGTACTTTATTTACAATCAAATCGCATAAAATAAAACTTTGAGGGCCAAAGTAAATTATTAAAAAAATAAACATAGTGTATGAACAATGCCCACTACAGTAAAAACCTCGTATCTTCTATAATCTATACTAATATCTGATCTCTTTTGGTGTTTTTAATAATTATTAAGCTTTGAATGAAGTGAGAGAAATTCCTATTATTATTTTTTTACAGAAAACAGAGACGGCAACATGCACTCAGCATCTCCATTTTATTTACATCTTGCACATTATCTATTGCATAAAAAATTTATGCATTTATACCTTATTTATTATTTACTATTAAATAATATATATATATATATATATATATATATATATCTTTGGACAAGTTTGGATGGAGTTTTAGGTTAAATTTAACAATATTAATAGCCTATCAATTATCAAATAAGGTAAGTAATAAAAAATTATATCCATTTAGATCATTCAATTTGATATCCATCAAGCTGAGATCAAATCATCATCCCCAACGGTAAACGTTGGGATGTTAATTGATGAGAATGGGCACCAGCTGCTTGGTTCCATGGCAGAGACTTCTGATCTTATTCCTAGAAAAATAAAAAGAGAGAGACTTTTGATTTTCCACTTTTAAGTTCGATGTCAGTGCTTGGGATTTCAGAGGACAATGATTTGATCGATTCATTCATTTTTCATATTTGAATCATGTTTCAAACGAGGTTGATGGCAAATGGCAATTTTTTTTATTTTTTATTTTATCATGTTCATACAAACTGCTCAAGAATCAACTGTAATACAGATACAATAAGATCCGATTTATCTTGTGGATATAGAGTGAGTTTTGAGCAGCCGCAGAAGCTGCTTTCCAATTCAATAATGGCCGCCTGCATTTTGAAATTAACTTCGAGAAATCGAAGTGATTCTTTCTTTTCAGGATAGAAATCCTCCTGTCTTTTGGGAAAAACCAGCACAGACGTTTCGGGGATAGTTTAGGAAGAAGAAGAGTATACCTCGAAAGCCTTCTCTGCGGCCCCCAATTCTGTTTATCCACCAGCATCCTTACTGCCAAATTCCCTATGCAGAGCTTAGGGATTGCGCTCAGGTTCCTAGGCTTCCTGATGCATTAGAAGCTAAAGACAAAGGCTGCAAACAAAAAACAACAAATATAAACCTCAAATTTAGGTTTATTCTTTTTAAAATAATAATATTAAAGCCTGTCTCTTTAGAAAATCTACCAAGCCTTAAATAAACCAAAAACACTATCTCATCTAGAAAATAAAAATAAAAATTCAAAATTATAAAGCGTAAAATCCAAAAAAATCATAAAAAATACTGAAACCAAAACCTCAAAATGAGATTTTCAAAATCTAAAAATCTTGATCTGAAAACAATCTTGGAAAACTTGAAAAAAAAAATTAACCATAATCAAAAAATCAAATCAGATTAAAAATTATAGTTTTTTTAAACTATTATTTTAATTTGACGTGTTTAAACCTTTTCTTTAACCTAAATTTAAATTTATTCCACTGGTAAATCTACATAATTTATCTAAGCTAAATCCTCTTTTAACTGTAACAAACTCATACTTTTGACTACTCAAAATTACTTATTATTGCAAGCCCTACTTCATCACTTTCATTAGAATTAACTTCCTAAACTACTAATATTTTTTACTTTCACCCTTCCTTGCAGCCTCGGATGGTCAGCGCTGGTTCATTCATGAGTGCAGCAGCAAGAGTCGCAGCATGGAGCTTGGATGCCATGACTGGTTAACGGTCACTTTTTCGACAGGAAACTGGCTTTTTTCCCCTCTTTAGGGATAGACATCAATCGAAGAAGAACCGAAACAAATCGCCGTTCTGAAGAATATTCTAGTTGAAAACATGGAAATAAACATATTGTGAATCAAAGAAACAGGTTTGAAGGACATCCAGCTCCAGTTGATTTAGGAGAAGATCAACCCGAACTAACTGATGTCCCAGTTCATAAAAAGCTAATAAATGGTATCGCACAACAAAGAGCTTAATCCACAACAGCATAATTTCTTTTTTCAGAAAATAAAAGGAAAAGTAACAGTAAAAGTATGGAACAATTAGTTATTTATAACAACAAAAATCATTAACTCATTCCAACTTAAAGGACTCCAAAGAATGGATTATTTATTGCAGAGGTCAGCTCAGACCCAGCTGAGTTCAGCACTGCCATGTCCACCTTATCCCTGGCAAGAAAAAGGAATTCATCGCCTTCAATTTTCTCAAACCCACACAGCTCAAGAAATCCAATGCCTCCTTGGAGTGAACCGACTCTATCCTGTTTCATGGAAATGTAGAGTGACAGCAAATAAAGGAGCAAGAAAGCAATTAGCAAGGGGCCTAAGAGTTCATGCTCCATGTGAAGGCCACATTGGATGCAGAAGTTGATTGATCATATCAAATGATACAATAATGCAACATAATTGTGAGAATAGGTGCTAACAATAATCAATCCAGTGGTGAGCAGTAATTACAATTGGAGCGAGCATTAAAATGATAGGCATATTTCCTCAATATAATTTAGCATGAGAATTTGCATACCTGGAAGGTTTGATTATTGAGTCTTATTTTTCTGAACTTCTCTTCACTAGGGTTTTTGGCAACATTCCCTATGTAAGTTAGGAGAGTCTGAAACGCTCTCTTCACTTTAGCATCATCATCCTAGCCTCAAAAAAGCAAATGAAGTGAGGCTACAAAATCTAGTTTAAGGTGCTATACAGCTTTGACAGTGCTACACAAATTTAAAAGACACTACTGAGGAACAGTGAGAGAAATTCTGAAGGAGATGTAGAATTTGAAGAATCACAGAGCATCATGTTTTCATGTAGGAATATCTTGCAATCAATATCAGTAAGATGTGATAATAGATTTTCGTTTCCATGAGTATGAACAAGATGGGTGCAAGTTTTTTGGCCAAGGAGTCCGTATACAATCCACAGTTTAGGATTCACTAGCATCAATCTATTTATTTGTTTTTCTATACAAATGTGTACCAGTGGAAGTTAAAGCTGGGGCTACAAAGAGCTGGTTTTTCACCATGTGGAATGGCAAGACTTCAGTGATCTTTCTGTCGCTTTTCAATTCTTAATTAAATTTCACAATATGTATTTAAAGATCAGCAAGTTCCTCGCTATCATCTCTTAAGTTACACTGTTTTCTATCTATGTACATAACTTTTAGCTTTAAGCATTACTTACCTTGGATTTTTTGCATCGCATTGATCGTTCTTTGGTCAGTGAAAATTCTTAGATTTGGTAGAAAATTTACTTTACTCTTCATTATCCTCTTTCCTCTCTCTAGTCCTCTAGGGGTTTGTTTCTCCTATTATCCTCTTTCCTCTCTCATTCCTTCTTAGTCATATTTTATTTTTTTATTTAATTAACTCAACTTTACAGGGTCAAATCCTCGTAACATAGAAGATTAACAGAAAAGGGAGGAAGGATAAATAAAGTTGAATTGAAAGATAAAACAAACCACACAGCATGTATACGTAATAGGCTACTAAAACAAAACAAAACAGAATAATTTACCAATTGTACTTCATGTTTCTGGACTGTGATAATGAAGATCTGAAGTAGAGTTGTGTTTACCTTGTGACTCTGCTTCAGAGATCGCAAGCATTCTCTCATTTGTTCTTGCTTAGTAGCAGGCCTAACAGGCAGCATGCTCTGCAAAAACATTTGTAAAATACATTAAGAACATATTCTGAATGACTACATCAAGCCCATTTTTATTCCTCGTACCTTTTTCTCCTCCACCACAGGTGTAGAAGGTTTTACAGTTGCAGGATCTTCTGCTGGCAATCCTAACTTCCTTCTTCTTTCTGCCTGTGAGGCACCCAACTCCAGTTAGAAATAGACTAACAAATCGAATTATTCCAAATACAAACTTCAATAACAAATGGGCACACAGTACACTGGAAAGGGCAATTTTTTTATTTTTTTTTGAAAATACAACTCCATACCATCAACCAAATTAGATCTAGCAATGTCTTGCCTTTTCCTTTTCATAAAACTTTGAGATGTGCTCTTTTCCTTTTAAAAATGTTTCAAGTTGATGTATTAGAAACATATACAAATCAAAGAAAGAACAAGATCAAACTCACACAAATAGTTTAACTATTTTGGGGAGAGAAAAATGGAATAGAACAGTAGTAACCTTGTCTTCTTCCAATTTCTGACGAATTTTTTCCCTAGCCCTCTTCTCTTCCTCTTTCTCTGCCTTCCGCAAGGCCATCAATCTGAGAAGGAATTTGTTTTTCATTCAATTGTAGAAAAAGGAAAGGGCACTTTTTTGGTACACAAATAAAAAAAAATACTGGAGCACCAAAATAATGCAAGTTTGCAACCATGTACAAAAATGAGAAACTCATTTACAAGAAATTGAATCTACAAAACCATTCCAAAAAGGGATACATAAGACCATATCGAACACAAGGTACGAGTACGGTGAAATACAACAGAAGAGTAAACGCAGACAAAGACAAACCGCTTTCTTTCGTTTTGTTCTTCAATTCGCTTTGCTTCAAGGAGTTCCTTGCCAATTCGAATCCTCTCCTGTAAAATTGGTTTCCAAAAACACATTGTGAAAATATAGCAGATAGATCAATCAAGGCAAGAGTTTAGATTCCAAGCTAATACTTGGGACTCCATAATGTGAAAGTTGACTGAAAATTACACAGCATGAAGTTTAAGGAAACTGCACAACACTGATGCCCTAGGTAACAATTCCTAATAGAGCATGCACTCAAATGATGATTGATCTCGTCACTGCCAGTGGAGACAAATGAGGACATGCTTTAAAAACAAATGAAAAGATAATACAAATGCATAATTTTGAGATTGCAAGTTGATATAAGAGAAAGTCATAAAGAAAATCAAGAAGCACCTTTTCCTTTTCTCTTTCTGTTTTCTTCTCTTCCTCCTCTTTCTTCTTGCGTGCACGTTCCCTTAAAATTATTTACAAGAAAGATAAACATGAGATAAACATATGATACACAAGCAGAGACACAGCAAACCTAAAAGCCACCCAAGAAATTCAACTTAATTTTAGTCCTTGAAAGAAAAGCTTCAGCAATCACATTATGCGGCTTTCCTTCAAGATGTTCAGAGCATAAAAGATAAGATTAAAAAACTAATTCCATGAAAGCAAATATCCTGATAAAGGCAAGATAAATGCACGCAATCACATGAAATTGAAGCAAACAGCAAGGACCATCGCATCCATGGCATTGTCCAAGCAACAAATATCCTTTGAACAATCAAGGTCTTGATTTATCAAAATAAAAATTGATCCAGTTTGGCAAACACCAGTTAGTAACCCATAATCCTCTTAGAAGATATAGATTTGAGAGAGCCCAAATGGACCAAATTAGTTTCCAGACTATAAGATTTCCTTAGCACCTGAAAATTCTAGGAGCTTTGCCACCCCTCTTAGAAACTACTTCTAAAAGCCATGTTTTACCGAAATTGAGCAGATCAACCAATAAAACCAAAGGCTGAATAAGAAACAAAATTGCATTGTAGGGCCTGGGTAAATTAACTAGAAAAGTTTAAACTCATAACCTATCCTGAACCCGACTCATTTTTCAACTGAACCACGGCTCAGTAGCCTTCTGCAGCAGGTAAAAACAATAAACAGTATACTCGTTATCTAGAACCACTGGCCAAGTAGCAATCACAAAATGAAGACAGTGAAGCTTAGATATGCATTTTAATGCACCCTACCTTAGTTCTTGTGCTTTTTGCTTCATTTCTTCTGGTGTCAAAGAAGGTTTAGGAGCCTCAACTTTGGAGTTGATAGATACCTGAGCAGACAAGCGGGTCAATAAATCAGAAGAACAAACAATTTAGTCAGCAAAAGCAATAAAGAAACTTATTTTCAGATCAATAAAAGGACAATGCATGAATGGAAAGATGCAGTTATGCTAGTGAAAAAGAATGTCAAACCATGGGCATTTCATCTATGTCTGGGTCATTCTCATGCTCAACTACCCAATTTACAGCAGCCTCAAGACTGGCATTACCTGAAAGAAAAGAAAAGCCAACACTCAGAAAACTGCATATGCTTTATCATTTGCCAATAATCAAGATAATGACACAGTAAGTACACTATCAGAGGCCAAAATATAACATGCTAACAAAATCCAGCCTCGCAGATGCCCTATGACACAGATTCTAATATCTGATAAGCAAATGTAAAAAATGACAATAAATAACATCACCAGAATAATGAAGTGCCCTCGTTGCCCTCGCTGTTGGGAAACCCATTGCTTCCAGTTCATCAAGAATTTTTTTGTCAACCTCTGGAGCAACCATTTCTAGAGAACAAATAGCAGGTGTATTAAACAACCATGATTACAAAAGAAGGGAATGTCTTACAATGATCAATCTCAAGTAAACAAAGAACAAGAATAACAAGATTTTGACAAGGGTTGATACCAATTTTCCACTACCAATAAGAACAAGATAGCTCATTCATGATCCTCCACTATAAAACCTAAGGCCATTTCTTAAGCTACCAGCAAAACGAAAATGGGTAAAAAAAACCAAAGAAAAGGACCACAATTTTTTTCCTGTTTTCCTAAATAACAGAATGAAAAAGAATTCAAGCGGGTGCGTGGAACCTTAAAACAACATGTGCAAGAAATAGAGAGCCAAATAAATAAAAAAGAACTGCAAAACTAAAATCTATAAATAGCTCTTCTACAAAGAAATGTGAAAGGAAAGCATAAAAAACAAGAGAGAGCAAACAGAGATTTAACAAATGGCCTTAACAGCAATGGAGTGTTACAACAAGAACCATGTCAGGCAAGATGATTTTGAAGGCACATGTTGTTGCACTTAAAACACATAAAATAACAGCTAAAACACTCCACAGACAACAAAACCACAAAACAATCATTGAATCGTACAGCAACTCTACCTACTAATTACCACACAAAAACATGAGAATCAATCAAGCACACTATTCATTATATTCATCACGGTCAGCAAATCGTACCTTCAGGCTGGCTAGTAGTGCTTGCATCAGCAGCAGCAGGCTCATCAATATCCATTGCTGCTGCCTTCGGAACCTCTAAGCTTATCGGTTTTGTCACCTCAGCAGTCTTATCCGCAAACTCAGTATGGCCAGTTCTCTTCGTATGCAAATCACTTTCCTTCATCACAAAATAAAACCAAAACCCAAATAATCACCACAAATATTCAAAACGATAGTTTTTTTTCCCCCGGAATAATAAAAAAACTAGGTCTCAAACTGCTCATTGTAACAATAAATTTCCAAATTACAAGCCAAATTTAAAGATTTGCAAACAAATAAAACCCAAAATAATTAAAAAAAATAGGCCTTAAACTACTCATTATAACTATAAATTTTCAATCTTTTCAATCTTTAATATTCAAATCAGATAAAACAAACCAGAGGGTAAAAAAATAATCAGAATTGGAACTATAAAATTCAAGCAAAGCGAAAATTGGAAGCAACAGATAAAAAAACAGCATTCCAAATGCATCAAAATCCACAATTCACAAAACTAAGGTTCGGAAAGACAAAGTGAATAATAAATAGAGGGTTTCATTACTGTTTTGGATCGGCAGGGTTTGCCGCAAGTAGTGCAGACGAGATTGAGGACGGCTTCAGTGGATTCAGAGAAATTGGAATGAGAGGTCAGCTCGGCGTGATCTTGTGCCTCTTGGACGGACTTCAATAGGGCCCCACAGTCCCCGCACTTCAATGACACTCCCGCCATTGATTTCGATTTTGATTGATCGGTGAATCTATCACAGAGAGAGAGAGAGAGACGGTACTGCTATGTAGTGTAAATTGGTTTCTTTCTCTGGTGGAGCTTCTTTTTTAACATTAACTTTACTTGCTGGCTGGGCAAGTACTTCTGCTATCGTGAAAATTTTTACAGTTATAGTTTGAAAAAAAAAATGTTTAATAAAAAATATTTATAATTAAAGGTGGTTTAATATTTATATTTATTTAGTTAAAATTAAAATTAAATAAAAAATAATTTAATATATTTAATTAAAAATATTTTTTAAATTAAGGTTATATATATATATATATAGTTTTTAATTTAAATATTGTAGATTTAACAATTGTTGTTATATTACGAAATAAATAATATTTTGTATAAAATATTTTTTATTATTTCATTAAACTATTTATTTCATCATGTATGAAATATATACAATAAATATTACAGTTTTCTTGATTTTTTAAGCACACAACAACATCAGGTAAAATATTATTAGGAATAAAATTAAAATTGCGATCAAATTCTACAAATATTATGTCAATAAGCGATCTCCGTCTATTTTATATAGTGTCATTAAATAATATTAAACACTAGTTTTTTCAAATAAAATACCATTAAAAAAATAAAAATTTTAATTTAATTTTTTTATTTTATGAGTTAGATCAGTCCAATACATTTAATTTTAGATCATATCTAATCCAGCAAAGACAATAAAGAGTGATGCACTCTCCACATAGAAGAAAAGAAGCAGCAATGAGCTGTTTTGTGTCACCCTACGTTTCAAACTCAAATAACAGTAGGGTCCATGAATAATAAAATGATATTTTATGCATTACCAAACGTTTGTTTTCCTGTGATTTGCTTTAAAAATAGAAGCAATCACGGAAACAGACACTTTAGCTTAAGAGGTAGAAACATAGTTTTATAGTATTATAGCTGGTTTGTTTTCATATTTTAAAAGTTATTATTTTATATTTTTTGTTTTTTTGATATTTTTTTTATAGTTTTTATATTTTGATATCAAAAATAATTTTTTTAAAAAAATATATTATTTTAATATATTTTAAATAAAAACAAAATGTAAAAAGCAACTACAACTACAATTATAATCATAACATCATACAGGTTTTCAACTAGAGTTTTTTAAAAAAATATTTTTTTTTAAATTAGATTTTTTTAGTGTTTAAAAATTGTTTTGATATATTGATATCAAAAGAAATTTTTTAAAAAATATTATTTTAATATATTTTCAAACAAAAATTAATTTAAAAAAAAATCACTACCACTATTCTAAATTACAAAGTAAATAAATAAAAAAATTAATTTTTTTTATAGCATGGAGAAACATTGTAAATTTAAGCAATGCATTGATCATTTTGACCTTCAATGCCCGAACACTTGCATTGGTTGTGGGGTAGAGTTGTTTCTTTTAGAGGTCAAAATGTCACTTGTTAATTGATCAAGATAATTTAGTAATTTTTTGTTTTTTTATATGTAGTGAAATTACTTCGTCAGACTTGCAAGCTAAGAAAATAGGCCTTTTGTCCAAGGGTCCTTGTGTATTTTCAACTTTATTTGCGCAGTTAAAGGATGATATACCCTTAAAAACTCAAAAGTTTTGGCATTGCAAAGAGGGGTTTTCTTTATCTTTTTGTATTTTGTTTTACATTAAAATAACATGTTTAGCCTTTAACTTTCAAAAATCTAAGTCCGGCAAGGGAGGGCATTTTCATCTTTGCCACATGTTTTTCTTTTGTAATATGAGGTGCTCTTAGGAGCTTTTTAGTAATTTTAATTATTCAAATATTAATAAATTAACATAAAAGGTTAACGCGTGATATGCACAAAGTAGTGCATTATCATCTCTCTTGCCAAATGGGAGGCGCGTGGGACGTATTACAATAACCAAATCCTACTGGTCGTCATGTCACCCAACGTGTTAGCTGGCGGCGCTGTTATTGGTGTGGCACGTGGGTTTGGTTTACAGCAGTTCGACGATGATGAAACTTTTTTCTCCTCTCATTCTTTTCTCTCTCATGTATATTGGTTTTCGAGTCGATCCTTTAAAATATCAGATATGTCATACGGATTGTATTTATTTTAAAATTTATCCTTTTTTTTTTTTTTGATTTTAATGCTTCTTGAATTTTTTTTGTTTCAATCTTATCCCTCCGCATTTTATTTCGTATAATTTTACCCAATTTAATCTTTATTTTTTTTTTATCCTTTGCATTAATTTTTTTTATCTCGTCCTTTAGAATTTATTTTCATTTTTTTTTATTTATAATTTTGATCCTTGTTTTTTATTGTTTTTTTTTATCATTTTCTTCATTTTTTTAATTTAATCCTTGATTATTTTCTTTCGATTATTTTTTTTGCATGATTTAGTCCTCATTGTTTTTATTTTTTTTTAAGATCAAGAAATTTACTTTCTTATTTTTTCATTTTTTTCTTCTATAATTATGACCTGGTTCATCAGTTTCAATGATTAGTCTAGTTTAAGTTCAGTTTTTTTAAAATCCTTTTTAAAATTTGAATTTTTTTTAATTTTGATCATTTAACATTAACTTATTGGAACTTGAGTTTCATAATCTGTTTTGATTTATTTTTTTAAGGTTGTCACTACCTCGTATCTTAGGTCGCAAGTTATTAAGGTTAAGCTGAGTTGACTTAAAAAAAAATTTTATCACATGATATTTTTTTCTGCTTTCGAAGAAGACTTTTTTGGTTTTTTTAGAGTGATATGGGTTGTCTTGAGTTTTTTTATGTCTTTGTTGGATCTATCTCTTTTAAACTAGTTTTTTAAGTTATATTAAATTAATTTATTTCATTCTTCAATATTAAATTGTTTTAGTATTGCCTCAATTTTTTGTGTTCTTTGTTAGATCTTGCTCTTTTAACGAGATTTTTTTAACTAAATTAATTTTTTTCACCTTTCAACATTGAATTTATTTTATATTGAGCTTCTTAGTTGAGATTAAATTTGAAATTTAACAGCTTGCAAGTTTAAAAGAGTAACTTAGACTTAGAAGATTCATCTAGATTTGCTTGGTTTCCCCCCTTTTTTTAGCTATATTTTTTGTTTCATCTTCCAACGTTTTCTTACTTCTTCTTTTAGCTATATTTTTTGTTTCATCTTCCAACCTTTTCTTACTTCTTTTTTTTTTTCCAATTACCATGGGATTTTTCATTTGTTTTGAGAAAAAAACACATGTTGTCTAAATCTATATTTTTAGATTTTGTTCAATTTAGTTGCTCTATAAGGATTTTTGCTTTTGAATTAAATATAAGCATCAAATCTTTTTTGTACTTTGTTTCAGTTAATTTTAAAACCCGGGCGGGCTTAAGTCTTGTGTCTCTTAGGTAGTGAGTCAACCCATCAAACCGAGCATTTTGAGCATCAAGTGGTATATTTTGATTTTTTAATTTTTTTGAGCATCAAGTGGTATATTTTGATTTTGATTTTTTTAAATCTTTTATTTTTTTTAAATTTGGTCCCCACTCACTTGATTTTTATTTTTGTTTTTTATTCTTTTGTGGATTTTTGGAATTCAACATTTTCAATTTGCCCATTGAGTTCAATATTTAATGGTATTTTAGGTTTTGAGCCTCAATGTTGTGGTTTTAGATTTCTATTCTTGATATATTTATCAAATTTTAATTTCTTTTTTTATTTCATTACTGGATCTATTATCTTAATTATTTTTTTCAATTTCATTACACAAATTTTTAATATTTTTTTATTTATTAGATTTGTTGATATTTTTTAATATTTTTTTATTTATTATTTTTATTTAATTTTATTTTTCATTGTTTGGATTGCTGGGAATTAACAGTCAATATGTTTCCATGCTCTGTTTCTATGATGTGGAGCCATTTATTTTTTTCCTTTTTTAAATACACTTACAACGCTCAATCATCATTTTTTTACACTTAAAAAAATTAGGTAAGCTTACAATAAAATCGAGCAAGCTATCTAATACCCTCTAATTTATCCTAAGCACCTTCGGAGCTAGCCAAGTCAATCCATATTTTTATAAAAACTTCAAAAGATCTCTTTACTTCCTTTACTTTTAAATTTGATAAGATAAAAATATTTAAATTCTTTTGAATGCATTATATGAATATAAGATTTACATTTAAATTTTTAGTCAAAACTTGAAGAAATTGTTGTTTTTTTTTTTTAGTATGGTGTATAAATAGAAGTACTTTTGATTAACACCCGTACTAATTTGAGGATATCCTAAACAATTAATCAGGCCCGTTGCTTTTTGTCAATATAAGGAAATTATTTATTTTGAGTCTGGGTCCGTGGAGCTCTTTTATCCTGGCTCCCTTTGATGTGGAAAGATTTGAATCCGAGTTGATGCTGATATATGCTTTTAATAAATTAGGTGAAGCATCCTTTGTTTGGACAAACGACACTTTATCTTCGAGTGTAAAAGCCAGGTTTAAATTTTTAGATTTTAAAAACTTAATTTTTAACCCCTTTTTTCACCTAGAAATACCCAAAAAAATCCTTTAAATCCCAAAAACCTTATTTTCAATAAGAAAAAACTTTTGATCACTCAAAAAACAAAAAAAAATCAAACCAGATAAAAAAAATCTTTACGAACTTCAATTTTCTAAAATAATTAACGGACAAAACCATCTTTATTTGACTCAATTTTCAATGCCCGACTATAATAGTTCTCTCTGCTCTTGATTTTTCATGATCATTTTCTTTCTTTTCAAAACTTAAAGAACAATAAGTGATGGAAATAAAGTTAAGGATTAAAATGAACAAATCTAAAACTATAGGAATAACCATGAAAAAACTTAAAACTTCATGAACCAGATTATAATAAACTTAAAGTCAAAAAGACTTATACCAAAAACTAAGAACTTCATGAAGGCTAGGCACTATAGCTATGGTGTTCTACCATGTCGGCCATACAAATAAGGATAATATATATATATATATATATATTCTATAGCGGATTAATATTAATTTTTTAAAAAAAATATTAAATATATAAAATATATATTAAGCATTTTAGATCAGGTAATCATATTAAACCTAAATGAATTGGGTCTGATAATCATTCAAGACCCCACCAAACACAATTTATTCCAACACGGAAGGTTACAAAGAATAATAATAATAACACTAAAAATCACAACAACGATAATATTAATATTAATAATAATAAAAAATAAGAATAATCATACTGATGATACTAATAATAATTATAGCAACAACACCAATAAACTAAAAACAATAATACAAATAATAATCATACTAATAACAATAAAAATTTAAAAATCAGAAAAAAAAAAACAATAATACAAATAATAATCATACTAATAACAATAACAATAACAATAAAAATCATGTCAAACCCAAGATGATTGGATCTGATAACTATGCGTAGTCTAAGTTTACTTGAGTCTAACAACATGCTTGACCTACATTAATTGGGTCAAGCAGCCATGTCAAACCCAAGTTGTCTAGGTCTGACATCAAATATAGTTGTCAGACCCAAGCAAATAACAAACAAAGAAAAAATAATTGTACACTTTAATTTGTTAGGAAAAATAAAATAAAAAATATAAACAATCGATCATTGACGACAATTCAACAATTATATACCTACACACTCCATATTAAGTATAAGAGGATATAACTATACATCTATGTATATGTAGATACGACAATTCAACAATTATATACCTACACGCTCCATATTAAATATAAGAGGATATAACTATACATCTAGCTAATGATCATGTTTAACTATCAGAAAGAGCATTTCTTTAATAGTGCAGGTGCTTGTCCATTTATTATGGTGTATGAAATAAATACTATAACTTTCAATAAAAAAAAATAAAATAAAAAAAATAAAAAATAAAATTTAAAAATACTAAAATATCCCTTATATTCCTTTTAATTATAAAACATCCCGATATAATTTCACTGTCAACAATTTATAATTATTATATCTAAAACTATAATAAAATCCCCATGCCATACATCTACTCACTGCAAAGTTGAAAGCCTGACCATGTAAAATCTGGTGATAATATCTAACATCAAGCACTCTTACCCAGGCCCAGCAGCATCTATCCATCCAGCTCACATTGTTTCAAGTGGTTAAAATATTGTTTGCTTAAAATTTTATTGTTCTTTTTTCAAAGCAGCACAATAAATTTTGTTCAGAGAAAATATCATATTTAAAAATTTATTTTTAAAAATAACATAATTTAAAAAAAGGTATATTTATTTGTGATTATATTTTTTTTTTAAAATGTGACGAAAGCAATTCCTTCATCCTCTCTAGTCTCTGTAAAAAAACAATCAACTAAATAAATTATATTCAAAGAACTCACTGTAATTCATAAAGTAAGAATTTTTATGACCCAAATAAATTGTAAATGAAATACTATATAGAATATAATTGTAAGCATTTGATTATTAGTTCGCAAACACACACATGTAGAAATATTTATTTATTAACTTTTATTTAATATAATTACAATGATCACACATGCAAAGAAGAACAAAGTTTAAAAGTATAATAGTGATTATTTTCAAAGTTTTTTTGAGATAATAGTGATTATTTTCAAAGTTTTTTTTTGATAAAAATATATATTTATATTTTTTAAAAATTATTTTTTACATCTCATAATAAAATAATATAAAATTATTGAAAAATATTAATTTAAAAAAAATTAATTTTTTTAAAAACATTTTTAAAATATAAAACAAACATGCCGTGAAAGGCTAAGAAGTGGAGGTCAAGCAACAGCCGAGTCTGCTTTGAAAAAGGTATATTTCAAAGAAGTTTCTGTCTCCTTTGTTGAAAAGGTAAACATTGCTAGCACAAGAGTCCTTATCCATACAGGACCAGGAGATTCTAAGACTATTTACATAAGATTCTAAGACTATTACAAACATCTTCTGTAAATCATTCCCTTCTTTGTTATCGAGAAAGATGAAGCAAAACGGAGATTTGAGTCATGGTGATTGTTCTGACCCTTCCAGAACCTACATCAGGGCACTAAAAGCTAGGTTTCATGACCAGCCTGAGAAATTCGAT